GGACTGCTCTGACTCCCAGGGGCTGCTGCCTAAGGTCAGGGTCAGGGCCAGGGTTCCTGCGCCTCCAGTCCTCCACTGGGGCCCGTTCAGAGTGGGTGAGTGAGGAGAGGCTGTGCTGGGCAGGCAGGCTGAGGGGACAGGGAGCTCCTGGGCCTTGGGAGGTCTCTGCAGCACCTGCTCCTCACTCTTCCTTCCTCCATCCTGACCACAACCGGCTCTGCAGAAGTCAAGGCCACAGGCACTCGAACCCAGGAGAGGTGGGCAGCAAGCCCTCAGCTGCCACGCGTGGCCGGACACACCCTGGCGGGCAGAGGAGAGCAGTGCCGGAGAGTGGGTCCTGTCCAGCCGGTGGTGCTGGTCAGAGTGCCTGGAGGAGGGTGGCAGGGCCTGTCCCCGATCCTGCAGGACGAGGCTGGATTTGGTCTGCAGCAGGTGCTGGCCACCCTCAGACCCCATACGCCCAGCAGGGAACCAAGGCCAAGGCTGTGTTCAGGGGTGAGAGTGGAGACGGGAGCCTCGGGCTCCAGCCCAGCACTGCCCCGCCGGCACCCGCTCGTGCCCTCGCCCACCAGCACCTGTTCTGGGGCAAGGGCAGCAGTCCTGTGCCTGTGTGCATGTGTCCTGCTGGGCAGTGCCAGGTACGTGGTGGCCACGGGGAGTCAGGCTCATCCCTTCTGTGGCCGTCCGAGGGCTTCCCCAAGCAGGAGCAGGGCGGGAGGAGACACCCTCTTCTGGTCCCCTGGGGAGCTGGGACGGCCTCTTGGGTTTCACCTTGAAGAGAGTGCACCTGCTTGTGTGTGGTGTGCACACAGGTATCTGGGTGTCCACGAGTCACACACCTGTGCTCCCTCACCCGGGGAGGAGGGCCCCGCCTTCTCAGGAGGAGCTGGTGGGTGGGCGGTGAAGGAAGCCAGAGGGGCTCCCTTGGGGGCCAACCCCTTGCCTTCTCTCCACTCCCTCAATGCCCCGTAGCCCCGCCCGCTCTGCGGTGGTCTGCGGGCACTCTCCAGCCAGCTGAGACCCACACCCCACGCCCCACCTGCCGGCTCCCCTGGGAGTCCCCATTTCCGCCCAGGACCCCGCTGCCTTCTCCCAGGGGCAGGGCTGGACGGGTTCTCATTTCTCCCTCTGTTTTTGGGCTGTTGGCCTCTCCGCCCGCCTGACCATCCACTGTCCGGACCCCGGCACACCTGGCTCGTGGGTGTCTGGAGCTGCGTGAGGGCCTCGTGCTCCTGGGCCCTCTCCTCCTCTCCCAGCCGCTGGGGACTTCAGTGCTGTGGCCTGATCTTGGGGCCCGAGGCCTCTGGGTTGAAGGCTGGGGGAGATCCAAGGTCAGAGGCCAGAGCTCCTTCCAAGATGATCTGCTGTCCTAGGGTCCCAGGGAGCCCTGCCCAGAGGGGACCCGTCCAGAGGATCTGCCCAGCCCAGACCCCCCAGGCCCGAGACTTCTACCCAGAAAGCCAGTCCTTGTGGGGAGGGAGCCCTGGCCGGGAACTCTGCACCGCCGGGGGCCCTGGACGGCCCTCTTGGGAGGAGGAGGGCCTGCTGTGGCTGTGGTGGAGGGGCCCAGCTAGAGGCCTGTGTACGGAAGGGGGCGCTCAAAGGCCTGCCAGGCGCGGAACGGGAGGGCAG